AAAGGCAGCAACCGATCGAGAGCAGCCGCCTATCCCACCACGACGAGCGAGTTTTGTTTCGCACTCGCACTCATTCGCGGAGCACCTGCCCTCATATATAGTAAAAATTAAACCGGAGCACCAGTCGCTGCAACATCCTCCTTGAAGACCGATTCTGACCACCTTGTACCAAACCGCCAAAATTTGACTAACTCTCTAAACATCCTCTTTGATCGACATCTGTGCAAGCTAACTTCAGAAATGTCGCCATTTCGCATAAGTCGATCACAGCAAAATCAGCACTTTTCGAACATGTTCGAGAGACCTCGAGTTGTTCCCTCTTAGTGCGGGTTGACTGGGCACTTTGTCAAACATGTTCGGGAGACATCGAGTTGTTCCCCTCTTAGTGGGGTTGACTGGGCACTTTGTCGAACATGTTCGGGAGACATCGAGTTGTTCCCCTCTTAGTGGGGGTTGACTGGGCACTTTGTCGAACATGTTCGGGAGACCTCGAGTTGTTCCCCTCTTAGTGGGGGTTGACTGGGCACTTTGTCGAACATGTTCGGGAGACTCGAGTTGTTCCCCTCTTAGTGCGGGTTGACCTGGCACTTGTCGAACATGTTCGGGAGACATCGAGTTGTTCCCTCTTAGTGGGGGTTGACTGGGCACTTTGTCGAACATGTTCGGGAGACATCGAGTTGTTCCCCTCTTAGTGGGGTTGACTGGGCACTTTGTCGAACATGTTCGGGAGACATCGAGTTGTTCCCCTCTTAGTGGGGGTTGACTGGGCACTTTGTCGAACATGTTCGGGAGACATCGAGTTGTTCCCCTCTTAGTGCGGGTTGACCTGGCACTTTGTCGAACATGTTCGGGAGACCTCGAGTTGTTCCCCTCTTAGTGCGTGTTGACTGGGCACTTTGTCGAACATGTTCGGGAGACCTCGAGTTGTTCCCCTTAGTGCGGGTTGACTGGGCACTTGTCGAACATGTTCGGGAGACATCGAGTTGTTCCCCTCTTAGTGCGGGTTGACTGGGCACTTTGTCGAACATGTTCGGGAGACATCGAGTTGTTCCCCTCTTAGTGCGGGTTGACTGGGCACTTTGTCGAACATGTTCGGGAGACATCGAGTTGTTCCCCTCTTAGTGCGGGTTGACTGGGCACTTTGTCGAACATGTTCGGGAGACATCGAGTTGTTCCCCTCTTAGTGCGGGTTGACTGGGCACTTTGTCGAACATGTTCGGGAGACATCGAGTTGTTCCCCTCTTAGTGCGGGTTGACCTGGCACTTTGTCGAACATGTTCGGGAGACATCGAGTTGTTCCCCTCTTAGTGGGGTTGACTGGGCACTGTCGAACATGTTCGGGAGACATCGAGTTGTTCCCCTCTTAGTGCGGGTTGACTGGGCACTTGTCGAACATGTTCAGGAGACCTCGAGTTGTTCCTCTTAGTGCGTGACTGGGCACTTGTCGAACATGTTCGGGAGACATCGAGTTGTTCCCTCTTAGTGCGGGTTGACTGGGCACTTGTCGAACATGTTCGGGAGACATCGAGTTGTTCCCCTCTTAGTGCGGGTTGACTGGGCACTTTGTCGAACATGTTCGGGAGACATCGAGTGTTCCCCTCTTAGTGCGGGTTGACTGGGCACTTTGTCGAACATGTCGGGAGACATCGAGTTGTTCCCCTTAGTGCGGGTTGACTGGGCACTTTGTCGAACATGTTCGGGAGACATCGAGTTGTTCCCCTCTTAGTGCGGTTGACTGGGCACTTGTCGAACATGTTCGGGAGACATCAAGTTGTCCCCTCTTAGTGCGGGTTGACCTGGCACTTTCGAACATGTTCGGGAGACATCGAGTTGTTCCCTCTTAGTGCGTGTGACTGGGCACTTTGTCGAACATGTTCGGGAGACATCGAGTTGTTCCCCTCTAGTGCGGGTTGACTGGCACTTTGTCGAACATGTTCGGGAGACATCGAGTTGTCCCCTCTTAGTGCGGGTTGACTGGGCACTTTGTCGAACATGCGGGAGACATCGAGTTGTTCCCCTCTTAGTGCGGGTTGACTGGGCACTTTGTCGAACATGTTCGGGAGACATCGAGTTGTCCCTCTTAGTGCGGTTGACTGGCATTTGTCGAACATGTTCGGAAGACATCGAGTTGTTCCCCTCTAGTGGG